TAAGTGGAGAGGAAATGTTTTGAGAATGATGAGGGCAATGAATGTACAAATGTGCTTTACACAATTGATGTATGTATGGATTGTGATAAAAGTTGTATGAGCCCCTAATAAAACGATTAAAAAAAAAGCCTCAGCCTCACTGCTGTTGACCCTACAGGACAAGTACAAACAGACAGGGTGAGTTTCTGAGACTGTAACTGCGTACGGGAGTAGAACGTCCTGTCTTTCTCCCATGGAGCTACGTGTGGTTTCAAACTGCTGGCCACTGTTGGCCACTGGCCAACAGGGCTCCTCATATATATCCTAATTTCTTTAAAATGTACAAAAGTTTAAACGTGTCACTTAAATAAATTTTTAAAAATACGGTATAGGTGATATTTGGGTATAAAACACACTCCCCATAAGTTTCTGATCTTTAAAGATTATGTCCCAGCCAGCCTGATATTTCTCACAACGCCGATGGTACTTACTTGGTGTCGATGATAAAATAACTTGTCTAAAATCCCATACTTTGAAAGGGAAGAATAATATATATGTAAACTACACAGACATACAGAAAGTAAAACTAAAATGAAACTCAGTCAACAAGCACCATAGGGATGAAATAAGCAGGCCTCTCAACCTGGGGCCCCCTTGGGAGGATCCCCACTACTCCTCAATTAAAGAGATTTTGTGATCCCACATTTCACATTCACCGTAATAGGAAAAAATCGACTATCCAACTGTTTTGGCACATTAATGACTTATGTTTGGCAGTAACAAATTTTCAAGAGTGAAGTAAGAGTAATGCTGATTGTGATGGGTAAAGCTATGTGTCTGGCACCCAATGCTCAGTGATTTGGCAGTTATGTAACGATGTAAATTGGCAGTTACACAAAGCTGTAAATGGGCAGTTATGTAATGATGGACTTCCTTCGTGGTGTGAGATTATGGACATCTCTATTTTTGCTTAACACTGAATTTTCCTATCACGGACTAGTCTTTGGAATCTAACCAAGTCATTGAGGAGTGGGTGTGCTTTATTAACAAGGGGAGAAATTTTAAGGGAGATTTCTAAAATGAAAACAGGGCATAAAACAACAAAAAAACCTATTGCAAGACTTAAAAGCTTGCTTTAGGCTTTGCGGGGAGTCACTCGGTTCGGGATTTCTTTTCCTGTTGCACTTGGGCTCAAGTCCTTCTGCTCCTCTCCTGAAGACAGTGAAATACATTCTTGAACACAGGGGAGGCATTGCCTGTTGTCAGCGTCAGCCCCAGTCCTCCTGGGTACAGCTTGGAAAACAAACTGCCACTCCAAAATCTCGTTGGGTCTGGGCCAAGAAGTCACAAGGATTGAGCAGCCCACAGCCACCCTGGTGAGCCACGCACTGGGCAAAGTACAGCAGGGTCACCAGCCCTACTTCCCGGGCTCTCGCACTAGCGGAGAGGCAGTCCTGGTTCCAGCCTCGAGGAGCTGATGTGCCACTGGGGCGGGGGTGTGACTTTTGTTGTCTCAGGTGATGGGCCCCACCTCGACATCGCGCGCAAGGCAGCCAGAGGCGGACGCCCAGCTCGAGTGACGCTGACGAGCCGCGAGCGCTGCCGCGGGCGACTCTGGGGCAGGGGCTGTGGGCGGGGCAGGGGCTGTGACGGCGTCCGTGGCCCCGCCTCGCGCCGCGCGGTTGCCAGGGTGATCAGGTGACTCGGAGCTCTGGGTTCTGGGGACTGCCGTGACGTCGGGCGCGCCGTCGCTACTCGCTCGCTCGGAAACAGGTGTGGCGTGTCCCTCGGAGGCCCCCTACGACACAGTCCGGTTCGAACCAGCGAGCGAACCAGCGTCCCTCCCG